CCCCCCAATTATATTTTATTTTTTCTGTTTTTATATATTTTTATGTGTGTTGTGAGTTATATTCCTTGTTAAAAAAAGTTGGTTATGTAAGTTTTGAGAAATGTAAGTAACATAAACTGTATAATATCCTGATAAACAAATTTTAAAAAAAAGGAAGGTTTGGATTTTCACTCCTGTTTTTGCCCTCAGAGTCACCGGGCGAGGAGGAGAGCTCCGACGACGAGCCTCTGAGCAAAATCGCCAAAACCTCGTCCAAACCCAGAGGGAGGCCGAGAGGGACGCCCAAAAAACCTGCCAACAGGAAGAGGAAAGGTGAGGTGGCGTCTCCTGATGACATCATCAAGAAGGTTTGGGTTTTCACTCCTGTGTTTGGCCTCAGAGTCACCGGGCGAGGAGGAGAGCTCCGACGACGAGCCGTTCGATGAACCCGCCAAGAAAGTTCCGCCTCAGCAGAAGAGAAAAGCCTCGTCTAAAAAACCTGCTGCGGCCCTGAAATCCAAACCAAACGCAGCCAGGAAGAGGAAGTGTGCGTTGACTCCGCCTTCTCCTGGATTTAATGGTTTTCAACGTTCGGATCCTCACTCCTGTTTCTCCCCGCAGCCTCCCCAGACGAGGAGGAGAGCTCAGACGACGAGCCGTTCGCCAAAACCACCAGGAGGCAGAGGAAGAGGAAAGCCTCGTCCAATAAACAAGCTCCGCCCCTTAAATCCCCACGGAACGCCGGCAGGAAGAGCGGTGAGTCGTGGCGCCGTTCACCCCCGACACCTTCAGCTGTTTCTGCCGGAACTCAAACCTGCTCCTGTCGCCGCAGTTAACTACGCCGAGACCACCAGCGAGGGCAGCTCCGGCGACGAGCGGAGGGCCGAGAAAACCGCTTCAAAACGCAGAGCGCGGGAAAAATCACCGAAAGGTCGGCAGCTCCTCCGTCAAGACGAGCTCGGACTCTTCAAACGTTAACCTGTTTGTGTTTTTATTCTCTTAAAGACTCTCCGTCAGAGAAAAGCTCCGACGAAGACGACGTCCCCCTGTCCAAACTGAAGACGAGCAAACCGGGGAAGAAGAGCAGCGGCAGGCGAGGCAGGCCGCCCAAACGGACCCAAGGTTTGTCCCGCAGTGAGCCCGACGCTCCGCTCCTCCTGAAAATCCAACCTGAACCATTTCTGTTCGACAGAAAGCAAAGCTGAGAGCTCAGAGGACGAGCCGCTGGCCCGCCTGAAGACCAGCAGAACCCAAACGTCCGCTCACAAGAAGAAAACTGTGAAAAAACCAAGAAAAACAACTCAAACAGGTAAAAAACAAACTCCTCGCTCCGGTCTTTAAACGGTTAAATACGTTTTTATTTTCTGTCTGAAGAATCGAGCGAGGTTTCTGAGGACGACGCTGAACTCTCCAGGATCAAACACCCTCAGGTGACCAAAAAGGTCCGAATCCTGCTGAAGAGGTGCGACGTCGGGGGGGCCACGGGACGGTCCAGACCAGGTACGAGTCTCAGTTCAGGTCCTGGTGATCCTGACGGGGGTCAAACATAAAACTGATCCGGTGTCTGCGTTCTTCACAGGAAAGAAGGTGTCGGACAGATCTTCAGACGAAGAATAAACACTGAAAACTTCAGTTCCTCTTCAACTTCATTGTCTGCTTTTTATATCCAGGACTTTTACTGTTTCTGTCCAAAATGGATTTTTAAAGTTTTGTGTTTGAATCCCGATTTTTTTTCCAGAAAATGATTAAAACTTCTGCATGTAGGTGTTTGTTTCTTTTTTTAACTTATTTTTTTTACAGTCAAAATAAAAGTTCCATAAATTTTAAATTTAAAATTTAAAAAAATGACTTTCCTCGCATTAAAATAAATTGTTTTTAATTGAAACGTATGAAGGTACAGGATGAAGTAACGTGTTTTTGTTCACTGTTTCATGAAATATTTGTTGTTTGATGAATGTGAGAAAATGTTACCCACTTCCTTTTTTTGGTAAAAATTTCTGAGTCGTAATGTTGAGAAAATGTTTCATTTCATGTTAAAAGTTTTACTGAAACAAAAATAAATGTCTTTGTCTAAAAAAATGCATCACAGCTGCTTTTATTCACTGACAGAAATGTCCAAAAAAATAACAAACAAATGGTCTTTTTAGGTTTTATTTTTCATTTATTTTGGATTAAAATCACAAACCTGCTAGACTTCATATGCAGCAACCAATAAATTATATTTATTCATAAATCTGAAATATATAAACATTTAATTACTTTTAAAAGTAGCAGTTAGATTTGAAACAAGCGTTTTAATTTTTTTATTATGTTTAATAATACGTTATAAATATATATTTATAAGATTATAGTTGTATTAAAAGACAATGATAACTAAAACATTGTTTTGCTTTTGTCATTTAGTTAAAATAAATCAATTATTGAAATAGATTTGGTTCATTTCATTTCTATTTAGTCCAAAATAATAATATTGATAATGATAATAACACGGATCTGGACAAATACTGTAAAAACGTCTCACTTAAAAAAAAAAATCCATACAAAAATCTAATTCCTCTTGTTTTATTTTGGTGGGTCAGAAGCGGATGTGACGTCACGAGTTTCGGTTTTAAATCTCACCGATGGGTAAAACTTCGCAGAACTCAAGTCCTGAAGTTAAACAGAAGTTAATAAATCTGAAAGGTAAATTATTTGTGCGCATGCGCAGTCTGTAAACTCCAACTGTATTTATTTATTTATTACCTGAGTTTAAAACATCACGCGCTGTTAAATGTTAAGTTTATTTTTTTAAAATCTTTTTTAAGTGAAATTTCTAATAGTTGTTGCTGCTTTAATTAATTAAAGTTGTTCTTGGAAATGTTTATTAGTTTTCTGATCAGTTTTTCTCCAAATAGAAATAAAAAAATAGAAATGAAAACCACAAACACCTGACAGGTACTTTCACTTCCGGTGTGACGTTTAAAGAAGCTCGGGTCGATCAAAGGTTAAAGATCATCTGGAATAAAATAAAAATAAAGACACAATAGAGCTGAAACAATCTGAGAAAAACATTTTTAAAATATTAATTAAATTAATTATAAAGATATAAATAATAAAATGACTCCTCAGGTAAACAACAGGTGTTTCAGGAGATTTAAACGTTCTTCTGTCATCCTCAGATGGAGTTCCCAGTCGAAGCTACAATCCTCGTGGACCACTTCCAGGACCAGCAGGAGGTCCAGAGGCTCCTCAGGTCTCATGGTTTCACGGTGCAGGATCTGGGCCGGGGTCAGGTTCAGATCCAGGGTCACTTTGAGCACCTGAGAGACCTGAAGGTCCGCTTGGAGCAGCTGCTAGCTTCTGAACGTGCTGCTGGAGGAGCAGCTTCATCATCCTCACTGAGACATCAGGACCACAGACCCCCCTGGTCTGGGGCATCATCCTCACTGAGACATCAGGACCACAGACCCCCCTGGTCTGGGGCATCATCCTCACTGAGACATCAGGACCACAGACCCCCCTGGTCCGGGGCCCGGCGAGTGTCCCGAGGCGAGTGGACCATGGTGGACAGCGATGTGTTCAGGTACGCCCGGCAGCTCGGGAACAAAGAGCTGCGGGACCTCCTGAGCCGCTCGGACCTGCAGACCAGGACCAGCGAGGACGGTCTGAGCACCGGCATCAGGTTTCTGGGGACCAGGACCATGGTGGGCCCGCTGCAGAACCTCCTGGATGATCTGAACACGTCTCTGAGGACTCAGGAAGTCCCTCTGAGGGACCTGGACCAGCAGGGACGGGTTCTCCTGAGGAGGATTCAGGAGAAACGGAACGTCTCAGAGTCGGTCCTGGTCTGTGAGCTGGAGGACCGGATCCACCTCATCGGTCCGTCCAAAGACAGCTGGGAGCTGAAGCAAAGGCTGCTGGGAAGACCCGTCCACCAATCAGGAGCCAGAGGACGGAGGGACAGAGACACCTCCAGGTGGAGGAGCAGCTCCATGGGTCCAGCTGCAGGGTTCTCCCCATCTGGACCTGATCCAGGTAGACCTCAGAGGACACAGAGTCTCTCCCGGTCCTGGGACACGGGGCGACCAAAACAGCCGAGACAGAAAGAGAAGAGAAGCTGCTCCGTCTTATAAACACAAACATTTTCCTTTAAGATCAGAAAAATTTCCAGATTCTGCAAGAAGACTTTAAATTAAATGAACTGATGTAAACGAAGGAAACAATCTGTTTATCTGTGGCGGCCATCTTGAATCAATTAACTCTAAAAGTTAATTATCGTTCTTCAGCCTTCAGCATCACAAACACTGAGCCTCTGTTTGACTGTTAATTTAATTAAATTAAATTAGAGAAATGACACAAATGTGTGAATGTTTCCTGCTGAAAACTTCAGCTGAAAGCTGCAGAAACAGCAGAAGTGTTGACGTGAGCTCACTTTGAAAAGCTGAAAGAAGAAAAAAGCCTAACTGTGTAGAAAAACTAAAAAGAGCAAAAATATAGTTGAAATAGCAGAAAACAGCACAAAGCTACAAACTAAAATAGCTGAATGCAGCAGAAAACATCTGTAAAAACATAAATATCACAAATTAGCAGAAAAACACAAAAAATCAGAAGAATGGGAGGAAAAAGCAGATCTAGAAATAGTTTAAAAAGCTAAAATTAGCAGAAAAATATCTTAAAACTTTTTCCTAATTACTAGACACTTATTTTTATGTCTTTTACAGACAAACCTGACATGTTTCAACGAGTACTTCTGTCTTCACTGCAGACAAATAAGCTAAAGGTAGCAGCCACAAGTTGTAATTAACACCCGGATTGTGAAAGTTTTCTTAAAACAAAAACTAAAATTAGCAGAAAATGAAAAAAAAAGTAGAAAAAGTGAAAACTTGTAGTCAAATGTTCAGTAAAACAGCTAAAATGTAGCTGGAGCACACAACGTAGCAGAAAGAAGTTGCTACAAAAAATGTGCATTTAGCTTAAAACAGCTAACTTTAGCTAATRACAGATGAACTTAAGCTAAAATTGCAGAAAATAGCTGAACATAGCAAAAAGCATCTGCAAGAAGCATAAATAGCACAAAGTAGATAGAAGCAGAATTTTAGCTGAAATAAAAAAGCTACAATTAGCAAAAAGTAGCTAAAATTAGCACAAAATAGAGCCGAAGCAGAACAAAATGTGTCAGGTGCTGTAAAGATTTAAAAACATTKGAAAGGATTTTTAGGATGATGAAAACAGCTCCTTTCATTTACAATAAGAAAAAAGTGGCTAAAACAGTAAAAAAAATAGCTGAAAACGTATAAACAGCTGAAATACCAAACAGGATTGTTATAAATGAGCCGAACGTTTTGATAAATGAATTGTTGAAAAAGCACTAAAACTGTGGAACGAGTTAAATGATGAAAAATGATCTCAATGTGAAACATCAAACTCTGAGCCTCTGTTTGACTGTTAATTAATTCAATTTAATTAATTAATTAATTAATTAATTAAAGATGACGTCGTTGGCTTTGATGTCTTCTGTCGACCTGATCGAAACGTCCCGATGAGGCGATGGAGGAAGTGTGAGGAGGAAGTGACCTGGAGGAAGTTCTGATGAGGATCTGAAAGGCAGCCGAACTGCAGAACCGCCGGAGGCGAAAAGAAGCTAAAGTTCACTAACATCAGCCGAAGGCCCGACTCTGCAGCAGATAAAGGTTTTTATTTGTTGATCAAAGTAAGTTCTGATCAGTTTTAAAGACTTTTTTATTCTGGAAATATCAGGTTTTTATCTTTAATTAAAGTCAGTTCAGTTAAATTTTATTCAACATTTTGTCCAAACCGAGCTGAAAGCTAACAGCTATCTGCAGCTATAACTACATGCAGAAGCAGAAATGTGAAAAGTGGTAGCTAAAATCAAAATGATGAAAAACAGCAGCTGAAGCAGATTTTAAAGAAATATTTTAACAGTTTATAKTCTGCTGAGGTTTAAAAACATGAAGAGAACACCTGAACTCTGCAACAAAACTTCAATTATTAAAGTAGAAAAATATGAATTCTCCTCAAATCTTCTGTAATAAAATAATTAATGATAATTAATAAAACAATTAAAGTGTTGGTTTATGAAAACTCCTTATTAGAAAACATTTAAAATGTCAAACAAACCCAACTTTAGAACAATATTAAATATTTTAAACCTGCATGTCCTCCTCTGTCCAGCAGGGGGCGCAGTTCCTCCACCTCCTCCACTCTAACCTGCATCAAGTTTTTCATTTAAAAATTATAAACTTTCTAATTGTTTTTTTAACCTGATGAGTTTTAAAGCTAAAKTAACCCAAACAGAGTTAAATAGTTTAAATATTTATTTAAAAAACATCTGTCAGGGTGCACTTTGAGGTCAAAGGTCATCAGGGTCAGATCTGGACTTCATAGCTTCTGGGACAATGTCCTTCACATGAGATAAAACTGGACAAGTCCCATCAGGTTTGTGTGCACAGACCCAAACAGAACAGAACCGTTGACCTGGGCCAGTTCAGTCCTGCTGGATCTGAATCTGTGGAGGGTCCGATGAAACCTCAAGACCATCAAGGCCCTCTGGAGTTGAAAGTGTTCCTGTTTGGACCAGCTTCATGKTGTTGTTTTTAAAAAGGTAACAACTAATTAATTGTTTTTTCTTTTATGTTTTTTTGTCAGTTTGTTTATTTCAGGTTTGATTTCTCCATCTAAACGAGGACAAACACGAGTGTGAAGAGAAACAGGAAGTGGGAGGAAGTTTAACTCTTAGTTTCTGAGAAGTGCAGATAAAACCGTCGGGTGTGGGCTGCTGTTTGTACAGTTACACAGTCAGAAATTAACACCAATATTACTGTTTTATTTAGACTTTTATAAGAAAAAAAG